ATGATTGAAATTTCATATTAATGTAGTGTTTAAGAATCATGTAGTCTAAGTGAATCTCTCTTTGTATATATATATGGAAAAGAAATTTACATATATATATAAGTCTTATACACAGTATTTATATAAAATTTAGAACATTTATTTTTTCACTTTGAGTGGTTGAAATTTATTATTTTTTAAAATTTTAAAAATAATTTTTTTAATAAATATGATAAAAAGTAAATAAGACTCAATATAAGAAAACAAATATATGAATTATCAAAATTTTATGTAAGTGTATTGTATAAAACTTATATATAAATAGATTTTAATTATCTTGTGTGTGTATATAGTTAAATTAAATTACACATAAGTTTTATACAATTTTATACACAATCTTAACCGCTCATATAACAACTATAAATGATAAAGATTTATTTATTTTATACTTTATTTTTTTTAAGCTAATTTTTTTACTCAAAAAATCATGATAAATCTTAATCATTTATAGTAAAAAAATACAAATTCTTTGAACAAATAACTAAGATTTATTTACTTTTTATCTCTATATATTAGAGAGAGAAGTGTTTACCTGCTTGAAAAATATAAATTTTTTTATCGAATGATTATAAATGTTTGTTGGAAAATTAATATGCATGATATATATAAATAATCATTAAAAAGTAATATTTTTGAAATTAAAACACTAATTTTTTTATGAGAATTGGAATTGACATGCATTTTATATATAAATTTGTTAATACCAAAGCAAATGTATGATATAAAGTGATCGATATGGATGTATATGTTGTTTCTTTCATATATTATAATTTGGATCAAGGTCATTTTTTGTTTCTGCACTATATATGAGTTAAATTAAAACTCATAATCAATCATTTTAATAAGCTAATTAAAGATTCAAAAAAATTGTTGCATCTGTGAAACTCATTCTTTCTTTTTTGATGGGAGAAACTCATTCTTTCTTAATCATAAGTATTTTTATTTTCACTTGTAATTACTGGTCGTTTCTTGTTTCTTGAATTTACAGTGCACTATATTTTGGAGCAAAGCACAGTTTTGCGTCCCCTTGAACAAGAAAGTTTTCTGAAATTGAGAAATAAATCTTTTTGATGATATGAACTCGTTAACGTTGTCTCTTGGTAGGTAATCCCCAAGAGAATTTTTGTTAGGGCCTCTTCTTCCTCATTTGCTTTCTATCCATTTTTTAGGTTTTAATTTTAGAGAATATGCTAATTAATAATTATTTGTGATTCTGTTTATATTTCTTGCCTCTTTAAATTTACAAGCCTTCATTAAGTTTGTTGATGCTCCTTTGCGGAATTCCAATAATGTGCTATTCATTAGGACAAATTGATAAAATCACCTAACAAGTTCTTGCATTAGAAATTTACGTTTTTTCCTTCTTTCAGAGATTGAATTAATTCAAATTCAATGAATATAATTGATAAAATCCCAGTTTTTAATAGCCAAGATTCATATTTTTTGTAAATTTCTTGTGTTGTGTCCTATTTGCTGCTCTACCTCTTTCACTACTGAATAAGAATAGAACTTGCTTATACATGTCCAAGTATATATAGATGAAAAAAAGATACGGATTGATTTAATTATTTCACGGATTGTCAAGGCTGACATCAATCAGAGCAACAATTTGTCTTGCATATTGATGTTATTGTATATGCTAATTTCATTTTTAACTTATCCATTCATTTATTGTTTAATCACGCTTAATGCTTTCTTCTGCAAGATCGTAGATATAGGTTTAGGACTTGGGAAGTCTAATGCAATTTGCTTTTAAGTCCATCAAATCTGCTGCCTCTCATTGTCATAAATTAAGGTTTACACAAAATTGTTCTATTTAAAAGAGAGAATCTGACTAGGACTTGTGCCAAGGTATTTCAAAAAGACTCTTGAAGAAGGTACAAAATCATCTCCAATGAACAGAGATCCTTTCCCTTTCCTGTAGAGGCTTGAGACTTGTTTTTTATGATAGAACAATCCACAATTTCAGAGTACTACTAACTCAAATAATAGTTGCTGCAAATTGTGAAATAGATCTATGTTGCCATTGAGCTTTTTTTTTTTTTTTAATTTTAGGTTTAAATACCAATTTGATCCCTTAACTTTTAGAATTATAACAAAATTGTCCCTCATCTTTATAGACTACCAAAATTATACCTAAACATTAATTTTCAATTCCAAAATAATTTTTTTGTTAACAGAAACGCCATGTAACTTGTTACTTTTGCCATAAATCAATTCTTTTTTAAAATATTAATAATGTGTAAAATCAAATAATTATATTTTGCCATTGAGATATATTTCTCTTTGGATATTAGATTAATATTTAATCAAAATTGAAAAATTAAATTGATATTTCTAGTTAAAGTTCAAAGATTAAGTTAGAACTTATTTTCAAAGTTTAAGGACCACATTGGTACTATCTTCAAAGTTTGAAAACTATTTTAGCTCCCACAGAGAGTATCTTAGAGGACAAGTGGAGCAAGCTAATTTGGTGTAGATTGGTACCATCCAAAGTGTCTTTCTTTGGGTGGAGATTATGCCTTGATAGGTTACCAACTAAGAGGAATATTATGAAAAGAGGGGTCTCTCTGCAGGAGGAGGAGTTAATGTGTGGGTTGTGTTATGACATGGTTGAAGAAGCTAACCATTTATTTTGTATGTGTAAAGAAGCCTGGCTTATTTGGGTAGAGATTTTACAATGGTGGGGCATGGAGACTGTTATTCCTAATAATATTTTAGGAGTGGCAGAGATTTTTGTACAAGATGTGGGTAAAATAATTGGGAAGGAGATGGGGGCTTGCATATTTCTTGTTGTATCTTGGTACTTATGGTATTGGAGAAATAGTAAGGTGTTTAATAATGGGAATAACATTAGAGGAAGATTATTAGAAATGATTCAAGCCAAGTCATTCTTCTGGATCAAAAACAAGGTGCAAGGCTGTGTTTGTTCTTTTCATGAGTGGAAAGTAAATCCAGTTGGGTGTGCTCTATCAATGAGAAGATATAAAAGGGAGCTGAAGCTGTATCGTAAACAGCAGCAAGGTTCGGTGACAGAGTAAGAGTGGAGGGTGCGAGATACTCCATTGTGGTGCAGCAGTCCGGAAAGTAGTGATATTCATGAAATTGTCTGTATGTCCATTTTGTGTTTAAAATGATTATTTTGCATTTATTCTGCAGATTGGTTTGTGAAACTTCAGGTGGTGTGGTTCTTTGTAATACCCTTGATGATACTATATTTGTAATGGGTAGGAGTACCCCTTGTACTCCATAAAATAAATTTATCTTTGCTGATCAAAAAAAAAATTAGTATTTTAACCTTTATTTTATTGTTGTTTGGGGGATCAATTTGTTTTCGGTTCAAATGAACGAAATACAATTTACCAATAATAGTATTTTATCTTATTTGATCCTATATCATGAATTATCATTACTCTGTGCATTTCTTTCATTTATCACTTCAAATTATAATAAATTAGACAACTTTTGCTTCAAATAACAGAAGCTAATTAATGCGGACATCTATAGCGAAACTGGTTAAGTGCAAAAAGTTAGTAAAAGTATTCTGATAATTGGATTTTCCTCTCTTTTGTGGTCGGGGGTGGGGATGTTAGATTAGCAGACTACACATAACTAAAAGGAAATAGGGTTTATAAAAATTTAAAGTGAAAAAATAAGCATTCCGGCAAAAAATGTGATAATTAGGGCTACCAAGCCATTTGTAAGGACATAATCGGACCTATTTTACAACCAAGATTAACATATATTTAGTTCTAAAATTTTGTTCCATAAACTCATAAAAGCAATACTCTTTTCATTCTACAATAATAGGCGCAATTTGATTTTATGTTTAGATAAAGAATTTCAAGATAATTTTTATTTTTATTTATA